TGTGTGTGTGTGTGTGTGTGTGTGTGTGTGTGTGTGTGTGTGTGTGTGTGTGTGTGTGTGTGTGTGTGTGTGTGTGTGTGTGTGTGTGTGTCTTGTGGAGGCTGCCCTTTTTGGGCTGGTTTTAAAGGGACCCCAATTTTGCTTGAGGGTGGCTAACTAGCTTTGCACAGTGAGCAGACTTTGGGACCTACATTCATAGAAGCCATCAGGCCATGAATTCGAATAGGGAAGCACCTGAAAAGGTGCTTGGTGGACATGAATTTCAACCGACATGATGTCCACCAAAGGGTCCCTTATTAAGATTCATACTGTGGATGGAAAAAATCCTGCACCACGTTGAAACCATGGGAAGCCATTCTTCATTGGTATTTGCAGGGAAATCCTCATTCCAGGGCTTCTTAGGTGGCGCGAAATGGATTTCGTCCATTCACAGTACCCATCAGGGGTGTCTTTTTGCCACCTTTTGTGAGAAAATGGGCGACCCCCTCAAAAAGGAATCCTTCACCACAAGGGGGTCGATCATTTTTCCACGAAAGCTGGCATAAAGACCGCCTTGGTACCCGTCACTACACCTCCTGAACCGGAGGACCCTCACCCAGCTACGTGGCCGTTTCGAAGCGCAGGTGCGCAAGCTGCGGGTGCTCGAAAACGCGATGATCCCGGAGGCCGGGGGAGCCGAGCAAGAGGCGGTTGTTCGCTGGCAAGCGCTTCGTGAAGCGATGAGTAATCTATGGTCCCTTTGGGTCTGTCTTTTGGTTGAGGGTACCCTTTTTGTGGTTTGAAAGGGCAAACCAAAAGGAAAGCCACCATTTCGGAGGGGTCCCCCCAAAATAACAAAAACAGACCCATTTGGGAGGGAAGCAGGGGAGACGAGCTCCAAATGTCAACCCTAATAAATCAAGGGACTCACATTCTTTCCCGATGTCCTTCGCAGGATGTCTTTTTTTTCGCATGTCCTGGAGACAAGCAGCACTTTTTGTCCTTGGGTGCTCCACAGGTCCTAAGTGTGTATTTGGTGACCAGCGACCAGTCTTGGTTGTTTGGGGGCGCTCGCACGGGTGTTCAATCCCGGGTCATGAGCTCATGGAAAGCGATGAATGCGGGGCCTTTGAACCGTTTCGAGGGAACAAAACTCCGTTGGGCCCCCCTGTGGATGGTTGCGAAATCCATTTCGCGCCACCTGAGAAACCCCTGGAATGATTCGATTCCCCGTTAAATACCAGCAAACAATGGTTTCCCGTGGTTTCAAAGTGGTGCGAAATGGATTTTGTCCATCCACAGTATGTCGCGGTCGCTAGTCCTTAGGACCCCCCAAACAGTCGGCGCAAACATCGGGCCAGGTGCTGGAGTTGGCCCAGGGCCCCAGGCAATGGCTCTTGTTGCGTGCGAAACCTTCGAGCCGCTAAGGTGAGGCCAAAAACCGGTTTGAGCGGAGACTTGGGGGGTTCTGTCTTTTGGGGAAGCCTCGTTTGGTGAATTTCAGAGAAACACCTCAAGCCGAGGCCTTCTGAGACCAAAACCCGCCTTCGTTGGCCAAATGTTTGGGACTTAGGTCACTCCAGGACCAGAGGAGGCGGGAGATAGAGCTGCATTTGCTTGGTTCAACTCACTTGCCCAAAGCCCACCTTTTGCTCTTTGGGTTTCTGTTTCAAGTTGAGTCAGTCATTGCCCCAAAAGGTGATCGCCTTTTGTTTCGGGGTGCTGTGGGCAACTGAGTAAAGCGATGGGTTTCCATTTCAACTTAAGCCTTTAATGGATTCCGTAGGCCAGGTTGACTTAGAGGTTAGAACATAGGTCACAGCAACGGACACTGTTGCCAGGGTGCCAGTTTGGGTAGGCCTTTCTCAGGTTTTCGTGAGTAGTCGGCTCACATGAAGCGCACTTCGGATTAATCCGAACCATGCAGAAATCAGGGGTGGGTCCCCTTTCAGTCGGGAGATCATCTATTTAAGTGCCCCACAAAAATGGAGACTCACCCCATCATTTTGGAGCAATAACCCATTTTTATGCGTCCCAGTGCTTCCAGCTCCCACTGTAGCAGGTAGCCAGTGGCTTTCTGCAGGTTTTGCATCATGGTTTGCCCCTGTATAGTAGGAACTGGAAGCACTGGGGCAGTTTGAGGGCCCAGGTGCTTGCTTTTTGCGAAGTGAAGCTCAAGCCGTCCCTTCGCCGTCCAGCCGCCCTTCGCAGGAGGAATATCAACGCCAGTGCAGCTCACCCTTGGCCCCCGCGCCCATTTCGGATACCACCCTCGCCAAGGAGATCCAAGACGCCAGATCGAGATGCTCCGTTTTTTGTTTTGTTTTTGCTTCTTCCCCCAAGGGGCACCCAACTTTTGGTGAGGTTTTTAAGGGGAAGCACACACAGGATACTATCTATTCATGCTGTTTGCTCGCATGGATGTTCACTGACGCAAAGTTGCTGGCCGCATTTGGACGCTACGTTTGGGATTGATCCTGCGGGCGACTCCTTGCGTTGCCAGTGGCAAAGTCTGAACGTCTCGAAGCCAAAAGGGCAACCGGGATCATCGGATCCAGGCTCATGGATTGAACCCAGACTTGTCCTGCTTGCCTTGCGGCGAAACTGGTGCAGTCTGAGTGTCACGAACCTGTGTTGGAATCCGTCACGTTTGCGGGGATTCGAAATGAACCTTGCAGGAGCCGGAGGCGGCGCTTTGGTTGCTGGCTCATTTTTTTTTCTTGGCACATGGCACGGAGAGAGCCAAGGTTTGTTGAAGACGCCCGCAAGCAGATGGCCGGCCCCTCAATCAGATGCCAGACGAGAACAAAGGAAGCTTTCCGAGTTTGGACGCGCAAGCGACGTGAAGTTGGCGGACGAAAAAAACGGAAGCTTTCCGAGTTTGGATGCAGCGGCTCAAAAGTCTTTCCCCTTCTCATTTTGAGCCCCGTCAAACCGCCCCCAAAACGCTTCTATGCCTTGCATTGAACTCGCGAGGCAACTCTTGAAGCCATTGAGCTCTTTGACTCCAAGAAGCTCCCGCCTCAGCAGATCATTTGCAAAAACACGGCATACGTGTTGTTGTTCTTTAAATACCGCCTGGGATTTGGGTGCTCATAGAACCCAATGAAAAATCGGACGGTTGCTAGTATATATATATATATATATGTATGTATAGATATATATATGTATTAATGAATATATATATATATTAATGAATATATATATATATATAAATAAACTATCAGTTGAATACTTGAGATGGTTTTGCTTGCTGTGAGTTCCCGAATCCCAAAGCCCAAAGTCTTGCCCAAGGCAACTCACAACCAGCGCTTGATACATTTTGGGAAGACATGTTTCCGTGAACGTTTTCCGGCCAATTGAAACACTCCTCCTTGCATCAAAGAGGCCGCAAATCGGACTTTTGGTCGCGCATGGCCTAGGCAGGAGCCTGAGCAGAAGAGGCAAGTGGCGAACGCCGTGGTTTTGCTGAAAGAAAGGCGACTTGCGTGGCAGGCCTCGTGCGGATCCTTTCCAGACATGGAGGCTTGGAGCGACAAAACTCTCAGAAGGATGTTGTTTGCACGTGAGCCTCGCAAGTGTATTGCTGTTAACTGAGAATGTTCAGCCAATGAGAGGAGAGTGGCTAAGATGTGGTTTCTGAAGTGAACATTTCCCTGATGGCACGGGTTTCTGAGAACATTTACCTGATAGAGGCACCGGCTTGCTCCCATGTCTGCCCGAGGGAAGTATCGAGACCACAAGCTGTCCGAAGTTCCGGCGCAGGCGGGGGTGTTGTCTTGGCTCGTGGACGCTTCGGCAAGCCAGCAGGATCCTCACACGATCTGGGGACCTTCACAGCAGCAGACATACGTGAGAAATGGCTTAAAGAACAAAAAGTAATATGTATTATGCAATCAGTTATATATATATATATATATATATGTATAGGATTGAGATAGATTGTGCCTTGAAACCGGCCCCAAATGGGTGCCCTGAAGAAACATACACACGTATTGTAGGCTACGAGCAGCCGCATGGTGCCAACCCCCTTAAAAGACCAACGTTGCACTTGCTAGCCCCCAGGGCGAAATTCAGAAGGGTGTAGTTATGTTTTCGCCTCGGCATCGGTAGAGTTTCGTTTTCAAAAGGGCTGAGGGAATTTATTTCTGATACGTGATGTACGATTTTGTTGTGTTGTGTATATATGTATACATACACAAAACATAGCCGGACAAAGGGGATGTATGGGGTGGATTGGTTCCCGATTTTAAAGAGTATCTTGGCATTCTATGTGCTTTGGGTTTTAGGTGTTATGGCATGTTGTTTTTGTTATGAGAATCATAGTAGATTTGTGTTGTTTGGATTCAGCATGGGATTTGCTTTGCTCGTTTCTTGTTTAACGTTATGGGATGTTTGTTGGTTTGATCAGAACTATGGTCATAGAATCCTCGATCTCATAGCTGATTTGTTGGAACCAAAAACATGAAATTGTGACTTAAGTATAGATGTAACACGATGCTATATATATATACATATATATATATATAAATACATGACATACAAATAATATGTTGATGCTAAATGACAAAAGCGCATAATTAAGTGTTATGTACAATGTCTGTATCATAAATAAATATATATATATATATATATTGTGAATCCGCCATGCTACTCCCCATGCAGTTCCCGCTTTTTGCAGTCAGCAATTTGGTTTCGACTCAAGTTTGCCTCTATCATGGAGCAAACCCAGACTCTCTGCCAAAGGCATGGGCAGAACATTGCATGAAATGCATGTGCGGCGGCAAAACATTGAAGGGTCTGCCAGCCAGCTCTAGTTAAACGCGATCACGTCGCCAGTTGAACCAGCAGCGTTGACGCCTCCCTACCCGCCTTGTTTGATGAATTCAGACAGCTGGGCAGACGTCAAAGTTTTGGAACATGGACTGTTTCTTGTTTGCAGTAGTTGATTTCTGTGAACGTCTTGTCGTGCTCAGGAATTCATGAAAGGCCTTGAGACTCCAGGCTGTCCGCTGTTTTTTAAGCAACTCGCGTCACTGGCCATTTGGCAATCTGCTTCGGCCATGTTCCGGCTCCGCGTGCCGCGTGTGCCGCGCTGGCCGCAGTTCACGAGGAATCTCAGCGGCCAGACGCTGGAGGTGGTCAAGGCGACGCTGCCCGCGGTGGCCGCGGCGGGGCCGAAGTTCACGGGCCACTTCTACCAGCGCATGTTGCTGGCCGGAAGCCCGAGAAGCGGTGCCCGACGGGTGGTCTCCTTCTCATTCGTTTGGGTTTGTTCCCAAAACTAGGTTTTGGTGCCTGAAAGAAGCCAAGGTTTGCAGCCCACCCGGAGCTTCTGAACGTCTTCAATGTGACCAACCAGCGGCAGGGGCGTCAGCAGAAGGCGCTCTTTTCAGCAGTTGCAGCATGTGCCACGAACGTCTTGGAAGAGGGCAAGCTTCCTCTGGAACTCTTGGAAGGTGTCAACCACAAGCACTGCGCGCTGAACGTTATTCCGGCACAATATGACGTGGTTGGAGAACACCTGATTCTGGGCCAACGTTTGGTAGCATCTTACATCTTTTCCCACGAAAAAGGTGGCAGCGTACATGTAAGATACGGTTGGGCATATTTGAGTCAGTTGAAAACTCCCACTTGCCAGCTGATGTAGAGTATCCAAATCATTGTAAAGCTGCAGATGGCTTTTGGATGCATTGGCCTACTTTATGGCGGACTCATCTGGTGTTAAAATGATCACACCACACTGTCGGTCCTCCATTTGGGTATCAGTTCTCGTTTCAGGTCTTAGCATGTTTGCAGATGTACCCTTCTACCGGACCCCATTGGGTTGTTTGTTTGCTATTAAGAACCCAGTTCTATCTAGTTCAATTCACTCCCGAGTTCTTGGACTTTAAGATCACTCTTTGGGCTTGGACCATTTTGGTGGCAAGAAGTTTGGACTTCCCGATCCACTCAAGTGAGACGGGTGTTTCTTTTGCGGCCCAACCATTGATCTTGGTGGTCCCAGCCGTCCCCTTTGCTTTTTAGGCTCTTGCTTTGGGCTTTGTAGGCCGTCCGAGTAGTTTCCATTTAGCCCGCTAACATCGAATCCCGAAGAAAGTCTAAAACGGACAGCGATGTCGTCCGGCGAGACGAGGATCGGGACCATCGTGGATCTGATGAACCCGGGCCAGGAGGTCCTGGACGCCTGGACGGAGCTCTACACGGTGCTGGCCGGCGAGTGCGTCAAGAGAGAGGAGGAGCTCTACAAGGAGGCGAGCCGAGTCGAGCCGAGCCGCCCAAAGAAAAACCGCCACCCGGCGACCTCCCACCCCCCACCGGAAAAACAAACAGAAGATATGAAGGAGGGGGTCATGGGTGGAAGTTGGTTTTCCGAGGTTGTTTCGCTGTAACCAGGTCATTTTTAGATAACGAGTGCAAGGTCCCTATCCAACACCTCTAGTACTGGCGGCCTTTCATGGCAAGTGCACAGCGCTTCCAAGGTGCAAAGCAAAAGAATAGAAAAAGTAGCAGGGGCCCATCCATTCCAACTGCTGCCACGCGGATTTCGTCCATCCACATTTGGCGGTTATATCACGGATGGTTCCTGGTTGGGGAGAACTCGCGACGAAATTCCCGCAGAAATGATCTGTTGGCCACCGAGGCAGAATCTAAGCCAGGCGGCTGGCGAGGGAAGCGCAAGTTCAAGATGACGAAAAAGGATGTGAAGTCTCATCAAGTCACCGAGTTCGTCTTTGCATCCGCGGATGGCCAGCCCGTGTGCAGCTTCAACCCAGGGCAATACATCACGGTTTGGGCGCAGCCGGAGGAAAACATGCAACCCAGGCACTACAGCATCATTGAGTCGCAGGAGATGGACTCGGGGTTGTGAACCGATTGGGAGGGTCGTTTTGGAGGGCATCCTTTCGTTTTGTAGTGTTGAAGGAAAACCTAGGGGAAGCCAGCCATTTTGGGGTCCCGAAAAAGACTCACCCACTTTTGTTGATACTCTTCTGGAATGCCTGTGATAGACGCTAGTCATGGTTGGATGAGAATGCATATGTGGAAGCAATCCTGCACCGCCTGAGCGAGAGCATGTTCATCTCGCCTTACTTAACATTAGTTCTTCGAAAGGAACACACCCCAACCGCTGGTCACACCCGGAGGCGTTGCAGGATTTCCGCATTGTGGTTTTCCTCTTGGTTTCTCTTCAAACCGAGGCCAAAAGGCTGCTCTTAGAATAATGCAGGCCTCATCAGTAGTGACACCTATCTCTGCGCATTGTGGTCAACACACCCCTCTACTTGTGGTTGGCATGGTCATGGACAACTCAGGAGTTTTGGGTAGCATGGATTCTTGATGGAAACATGGGAGTTCTCATTCTAAGGTTCTACAGAGAAGCCATAAGCAAAAGCGAAGCCCATGTAGTGAAGTCCAAGGTCCGAGTCCTTTTGACACATGCCCCGTACTTGGAGGACAATAGCTTTCGCATAGCTGTCAAGAAGGAGCCTCACGGCCTGGTCTCCGGCTTTCTCCATGACC